CAAAACAACAAATAAAGTTTTGTGAAAATATGAGATGTAATATTTTTCCTATTATATTTTATACCTAGTTTCTTTATCTTCAATTTCCAATTGACCAAAACAGACCTTTCAGTTTTTATTCATTACAAAAAATGTATATATATATATATATATATATATGTGTGTGTGTGTGTGTGTGTTTATGTATATATGTGTGTTTGTGAGATCGCGCGTGTGTGTGTGTATGCTTAAGCTTATATAGTACAGAGATTGTTATTTACTTCATTTTGTATGACTAATTAGCGAGAGATCGTAAATAAATAAAAAAAACTTACCCAAAATGTCAAGTGAGACTCTCTATTCCTTAAAGTTTATATTGAAATCATATACATATGATGTATTTCTAAATTATATAAATAATAATACTTATATTTGTGTAACCTCGGGTATATGTTGATAACACACTTACTGGCTGATGTAAAGTGTCCGTGTGGAGGCATATCTTCTCTACCTACAAACAAAAATGCATTGAATTAAAACAATCAAGTATAATGCTTTCATACAACAGAACAAATAAAGTTCTTTTGATAAAGTTTGAGGTTAAATATTTTCGTATATTTTTCTATCTTGATGTATGTCTTCTATTCATAATTTTAGTTCAAATGTTAAGAACTCCTGCATTTATATATTTTTGGTAAATAGTAACAATGATGTTTTCTACACGAACAGAACCTGCAAAACATTATTTTTACGTGAAATCTTAATTTTCTTTGTCTCTCACATTTAATTATTTAATTAATTATATATATATATATATATATAAACAATATCTAGTGTGACATTATTAATTAAATTATATACTGAAAATGAATACAGATAATAAACATTCTTATATATCTGAATTATATAATTATTAATACTTATATCAGGGTTGTTGTCGGCTATAAATAGATTACACACTTACTGGCAGATGTAAAATGTCCGTGTGGAGGCATATCTTCTCTACCTATAAACGAAAATGCATTGAAATAAAACAATCAAGTATAATGCTTTCTTTTGATAAAGTTTGAGGTTAAATATTTTCGTATATTGTCTTGATGTATTGATGTATTGTCTTCTATCTATAATTTTAGATCAAATGTTAAGAAGTCCTTCATTTATATAAACTATCTAGTGTGACTAGAGATAAAAGACTTACTGGCCGATGTAAAATGTCCGTGTGGAGGCATATCTTCTCTCCCTACAAACAAAAATGCATTGAAATAAAACAATCAAGTGTAATGTATTCATACAACACAACAAATAAAATTCTTTTGTTAAAATTTGAGGTAAAATATTTTCGTATATTTTTTTATGTCTCGTTGTACTGCCTTCTATTCATAATTTTAGTTCAAATGTCAAAAAGTCCTGCGTTTAAATATCTTTTGTAAATAGTGACCATGATTTTTTCTATAATTACAGAAAGTACAAAACATTATTTTTACGTGAAATCCAATTGTCATATTTAATGATTTATATATATATATATATATATATATATATATATATATATATATATATATATATATATATATATACAGTAGCGTCCAAAACTAAGGGACAAAATTTTAAAACCTAATATTTGTTAGAAATAACAACTGTGAAAAGCTGAAATTTTGACAACTGGCAGTCGTTATCATCCATAATAACATACTAAAATTTGAATCATTTGCAAAGGATAGAAAAGAATTATAACAATTATTTATTTATTTTCAAAATAGGATCGTCCAAAAGTAAGGGACAAAATTGAGAAAAACAATGTAAACAGTATGCTATATTCAAATTTTTGATTTCCTCTAAAGAATAAGTCTTACTTAGTCATTTGTAAACGTTGCATCAGCCGGCACCATGGCGAAACGCCAAAAACTTGATTACTCTGTGAGACAAGCTATTGTGAAGCTACACAAGGAAAACCACACCATTAGAGAGATTTCAGATAAAGTGAAACGTTCCAAGAGTGTTGTAGGCAGGGTTGTTAAATCCTACAATGATACTGGCAAAATAGTTAGTGCTTTTCAAACCGGCAGACCCCCAAAAAACTTCGGCAAGAGAAGATCGAATAATGCAGCGTATGTCATTAAAGGACCGTTTTAAGTCTTGCACAGAAATTAACAGGGTTATGAATAGTACCTCATGTGTTAATGTGTCAAGACAGACTGTTTCTAGACGACTGCAAGAAATAGGGCTGTTTAATCGAACCCCAGGGAAGAAACCACTTGTTAGTTCGAAGAATAAGAAGAAGAGATTAGAGTTTGCAAACAGGTATGTAATTTGGACATATGAAAATTGGGCAAAAGTATTTTTCAGTGATGAAACCAAGTTTAATTTACTTGGAAATGATGGAAAAAACAATGTAAAGAGACGTATTGGTGAAAGATTAAGTGCAAAGTGTACTAAGAAAACTGTCAAGTTTGGGGGCGGAAGCGTCATGGTATTTGGAATGTTTTCTAGCCAAGGTACAACGCCTCTTGTCCGGTTACAAACTCGTGTAAACGCGCAGATCTATAAAAACATTGTTCAAGATCATGTTGTGCCAATCATACAGAATTCAGGTTTCGATAGGGCTATCTTTATGCAAGATAATGCCCCATGTCACAAGGCAAAGGTGGTTACCTTAGCGAGCAAGATTTGGAAATTATGGATTGGCCACTGCAAAGTCCTGACTTAAATCCAATAGAAAATCTTTGGAAGGCCTTAAGAGTGAAAGTTAGGGAAAGAAATCCCACTAACACGGAGGATTTGTGGGTGAAGCTTCAAGAAGAATGGTCTAAAATTAGTATCGAGGATTGTCAAGAACTGATTCGTTCTTGTAGTCGAAGACGTGCAGCTGTCATTGAGAGCAAGGGCTCATTTACTAAATATTGATTGTACATGTATTTTTATTGTTTTTTTGCCGTTTACATTGTTTTTCTCAAATTTGTCCCTTACTTTTGGACGTTCCAAATTTGAAAATAAATAAATAATTGTTATAATTCTTTTTCTATCCTTTGCAAATGATTCAAATTTTAGTATGTGATTATGGATGATAACGACTACCAGTTGTCAAAAATTTCAGCTTTTCACAGTTGTTATTTCTAACAAATATTAGGTTTTAAAATTTTGTCCCTTAGTTTTGGACGCTACTATATATATATATATATATATATATATATATATATATATATATATATATATATATATATATACTTACAATATCTAGTGATACTATTCATTAAAATTTATACTGAAAATATGAAACTATATATGAATATGGATAATAAACATTCTTATATTTCTGAATTATATAATTATTAATACTTATATCAGGGTTGTTTTCGGTTATAAATAGATAACACACTTACTGGCAGATGTAAAGTGTGCGTGTGGAGGCATATCTTCTCTGCCTATAAACGAAAATGCATTGAAATAAAACAATCAAGTATATTATCCATAATTTTGTTCAAATATCAAGAAGTCCTGCATTTATATATTTTTTGTAAATAATGACCATGATTTTTTACACCTACAGAAAATGCAGAACACTATTTTTACGTAAAATTTTAATTTTGTTTGTCTATTATATTTAATGAAATATATATATATATATATATATATATATATATATATATATATATATATATATATATATATATATATGTAGTGTGACTAGAGATAAAAGACTTACTGGCCGATGTAAAAGTGTCCGGATGGAGGCATGTCTTCTCTACCTACAAATAAAAATGCATTGAAATAAAACAATCAGGTGTAATGCATTTATACAACACAACAAATATAATTCTTCGTGAAACTTTGAGATTAAATATTCCCAAATCTATATTTTATATATATACATACATACATATATACGTACATACATATGTGTGTGTGTGTGTGTGTGTGTGTGTGTGTGTGTGTGTGTGTGTGTGTATATAGAAAAATAGGAAAGAACCGTTAGGTTAATAATCCGAAGTTCTTTAGTATTTTGTTTTTATTTTTAAAAAACAGTGCTCAATACATAAGTAGAGCCTAAATTAATTTTTTTTTTTAAATTGTATCAACATATTAGTTACTTTCGAATAGTTGTCAGTGAAAATGAATACCCTACCGCCCCTTATTAAAATGATTGATTTTCTCCATATCCATAGAAATTAATATTACGAATGTATATGCTTATAAAGCTCCGTAAATTTCAAAATTTGTTATTCCAAAATTCACTTGAGGATGAACCAGAACTAGGTACTTTAATTTAGTTTAATTGGATTGTTTTAGCTTCTGTTTTTGAAACATGAGAACTCTTATGTAGCGATAGAATCACGTTTTTTAAAAAATAATTATAATATATTATATATATATATATATATATTGAATTGATCTCTTTAGCTCTAAGTTGGTATGATGCTCCCTCACTGTTGTGACCTCCTGATCCAGTCCAGTTTTTCTCACTACCCTTCCATCTTTTTTCAATTTATTCACCGTTCTCTCGATGGTTCTTGAATGAACTTTGAAGACGGAATCCAGAGTATGAATGTTGGTACCATTACTGAAGGCCTGAATGATTTTTTCCCTTATCATTGCTCAGTTGATAAGACAGTGCTACTAACACAAACCGATTTTAACCTGTTCTCTTTCTAGCTGATTAACTGAAAGGGTTTTTTAGTGATTCTTATGACAGATGGTGTCAGGATAGTTAAGCGTCTTATCTCAAAAACTGGAAAAAAGAAACTCAATTAGTTTAGTGGATTTTTAGATATTTTGTGGACAATTTTGCTGTTATATTTGTTATAAATAGAAGAATGAATTTTGCGTGTGTGTGTGTAATGTTGCATTGTGGGGTGGTGGTTTGCATGTGTCCGTGTGTCTAACAGAGTGTGACATTAACAGACTGACTCAGCGATGTATATTTTCCATGTGGAGGCATAGTTTCCCTATCTAAAAGACAGAGGAATACATATACAATTCCGTTAAATTTGGGATCAATTCTGTTTTAACACACGCACACACACATATGTATAGAATGAGAGAGAGAGAGAAAGTGTGATGAACAGACAAAGATAGAAAGAGAGGGAGCTGAACAGACCGAGATAGATAGATAGATATTAAGAGACTATGATAAAAAGTGAGATAAGCAGATTGATATATATATATATATATATATATATATATATATATGTGTGTGTGTATATATATATATATATATATATATATATATATATATGTGTGTGTATATATATATATATATATATATATATATATATATATATATATATATATATATATATATATATATATATGGAGAGAGAGATATTAAGACTGAGATGAACAAACCAATATATATATATATATATATATATATATATATATATATATATATATATATATATCAGGTCATCCCCTAAGTTCTTCGAATTTTAATTTTTTGTTAAAATGAACGAAATTTAAAGAGTATTTTATTATGTCTAATGGAGCTGAACATTATTTTTATGTTTAGATGCATTTAAACTGATCAAATTTTATTTCAGAGAACAATAAAATTAAATTTTGTTTGATTAAAACCCTGCTAACATGGAAGTACCCAAGAATCATTTGAGGCACATAATGCTTTATGAGTTCAAGAAAGGAAACTCAGCAGCCGAAGCGGCTAGAAACATTCACTCAGTTTATGGAGAGGAATGTGTGAATGAAAGAATTTGCAGAAGATGGTTTGCAAAATTCAGAGGTGCAGATTTCACCCTTGAAGATGAAGATCGAACCGGACGTCCAGTTGAGTTTGATGAAAAGCTTCTTGAAGCAGCCCTTGAAGAAAATTCTGCTTTATCAGTTGAGGAATTGGCAATAGTTCTCAGTTCAAACCATACAACTGTTCATCGTCATCTTCAACAACTTGGAAAAGTTCCTAAACTTGGAAAATGGGTGCTTCATGAATTGTCTGAAAACAACCTCAAATCCTGAGTTGACATCTGCTCTTCTCTCTATTCTCGCCAACTTGTTTCAACTTTTTTGAATAGACTTGTGACTGGCGATGAAAAATGGATCTTTTATCGAAATGTTAAGCGTCGTAGACAGTGGCTTGGTAAAAGGGAAGGACCCCAGCCACAGCCGAGAAAGGAACTTCATGGGCAAAAGGTTCTTCTTTCAATCTGGTGGGATCGACAAGGAATAATCCACTTTGAATTCTTACCACCTAATGCGACAATTAATGCTGAAATATACTGTCAGCAATTAGAGCGTTTGAACCAAGTTTTGAGGAAAAAAAGACCTGCTCTAGTGAATCGAAAAGAGGTGATGTTTCATCAGGACAATGCGCGACCCCACACAGCAAGAATTACGTCAAAAAAGATGGAAGAACTTGGTTGGGAAAAAATTCCTCATCCACCTTATTCTCCCGATCTTGCTCCTTCAGACTACCATTTGTTTCGTAGCTTACAGAATCATTTGGAAGAAGCAGCTTTTGTAACACAGGAAGAGGTTAAAACTGACATTTGTGAGTTCTTCGAATCAAAGCCAAAAGAATTTCACAGTAATGGAATTAGTAAGCTTGTTAATTGATGAAAGGAAGTCATAGATAATCAAGGAAAATACATTGTTGATTGAATCTGTAATTAAATGCAACATTTGTTCACTTATTTTCTTTACTCAAAATTCGGACTGAACTTATGGGATGACCTGATAGATAGATAGATAGATAGATAGATAGATTGATCAAGAAATCTCATGACCCTTTATTTTTTCTACGTGGCAGAGTTAAGGCCAAGTGTTATTTTGACGGATTTGGGTCATCCTGTTATACAGACAGTTCCTCATGTTGATTCAGAAGGATAAAACGCCGATTGATACAGCTTTAATCCTCATTGGGGAACAATTTGAATTTATGAACATATAATTATCTATAATAATTTCTTGATGTGTGTATTAAGCAGAATTATTTAGTGTGGTGGTGTGGGGGTACGTATGTCTGTGGGCCTCTCTTTAAATTTGTAGAACTCTTTAATATTTCGAAAAGTACAGTTTCTAAAATCATGTTTTCATATCAAAGGTTGAAACTATCCCTGACAAGACCAATGGCAAAGCTGAAGGCAAGGAATTGTAGAAGAGTGAATTGTGTGCGTGTGTTGCGTTGTATTACGTAATGTAGTAGTGATTTACGTGTGTGTGTGTGTGCTAGAAGATGCAACATCAACAGACTTACTCAGTGATGAAAATTTTCCATGTGGTGGCATATTTTCTCTATCTGAAAGAGAAATGAATATAAATAGCAATTTAGTTATATTTGAGATCAATTTTTAGATAGATAGATAGATAGATAGATAGATAGATAGATAGATATTAAGAGACCAAGATAGAGAGAGAGAGACGAGAAGCCTGGGATAGATAGATAGATAGATAGATAGATAGATAGATAGATAGATATCAACAGACAGTAAGATAGATTGATATGAACGCACATAGATAGATAGATAGATAGATAGATAGATAGATAGATAGATAGATAGATATACACAGGCAAAAAACACACAGAGAAATGAAGAGACGAAGAAGGATAGATGATCAAAGAGAAATGAAAACATATGACAATTTAATTAGAAATCAATTTTGTTTTAATACACACACATACACACATATATATAGAGAGTGACATAGATAGATAGATAGATAGATAGATAGATAGATAGATAGATATTAAGAGGCCAAGATAGAGAGAGAGGGGGGAGAAGCCTGAGATAGATAGATAGATAGATAGATAGATAGGTAGATAGATAGATAGATAGATAGATAGATCAAGAAATCTCTTGACCAATTTACTTACTCAGTGATGAAAATTTTCCATGTGGTGGCATATTTTCTCTATCTGAAAGAGAAATGAATATAAATAGCAATTTGGTCGGTTTGTTTAATTTCTTCCACGTCTGTAAGTTAATAATGGTTAAATCTGATCCGGAATCTAATTGTAATCTGATTTTTTTGTTTAACATTTCTACATGTACGTATTTTCGTATATTTATCCCGTCCGCTTGGTCAGTTCTAGTGACTCTTACTCGGCTTTTGTTTTCTTTCTTTGTTCTACAGTGCGAACTTTTATGTCCCACTTTATTGCAGGACAGACAAGACGTATAGCGGTATGGACAATATTTGTACCAATGTAAAGTCCCACAGCGATAGGATGGACTGGGTGGTGGTTTCTTCTGCGGTTTCATTTGACTTTTTGTAGTAAAATAATTGGTTTGGTTTGTTTTTGAGGAGGGAGATAAACGTGTTTGTTGTTGTACTTTTCGTATGTGAGCGACGCCAGTCTCTTCGATATCTTTCGAGTTCTTTTTTACGCTTATACATCTCTAACAGTCCTCAGACAATTTTTGTAGAGTCAGTTTTGGTTCACCCACCAGTTTTATGGAATTCTCCGCCTGATCTCCACATCTTTAGTCGAAACCAGGCCTTGGATGAATATCAAACTTTTAAAATTGTCAGGGCTGAGTTCAGATAACTTAAAGTCATCGCAGTGTTTGTTTACTACGGATGCGAATGTTATATAGTCTTCGCTATCCTTTTTTGTTAAATTTAAACATTTCTACCTTTTGTGGAATAGTGAAGTGTTCGAACCAAATAATTCCGTTAAAGTTTCACGGCTTCCCTGAAAGTCAACTCATTCGTTTTCCTCGGTAGGATGTAGTCTACGAATTTAGTGTATTCGCTTGAGCCTAGTTTCCTCATTAGTAGACGTACTTTTTTCGCGTCTGACCAATTTCCGCAATCAAACTCATATGAATCTTCATATCTTCTGAAGTAAGCCGCGAAGGTTTTGTCTTCGTCCGGTGCATAAGTGAAGTCTTTGATTGGGCTCCATATAGCGTTTTGCGAGAATGACGCTTCATTTTCAGAATTTTGTCCTTTATTTGTTTCTGCCCGTAGTAGTAATTCTTGTAGTTCGAGTTGCTTTTCTTCGTTTTTCTGTTGAATTTCTAATAGTTTTTCTTAGAGCCTAGTCTGTCTTTCCTCAGATGTTTTTTTTTTTTGCTGCTCGAATTGCATTTTCATTAGTTCCAATATGGTTGCCTTAAAGTCTTCCATGTTTACACCGTAATTTAATAATAACACAGGCGATCTGGTGTCACGAGAAAAGGAGGAAAAAAAACTCACTTTTCCCCCTTACTTTTTCTTTTAGCAATATGTACTTTCTAGCTAGAGTTGTGTACTTGTGTAACGATTTTTCCTTTTTTCTCAGTGTAGACTTCAGGTCTTTGTCGTCTGTTGTCCTGGAACCTTGGTACGAAAAATTTTCCTGCGTAGAATTCTATTCTATTTTGGCTGACAGGTAAAATTCGTGTATTCGTTACCACTGTTATGGTTGGTGTCCAAAAAGTTTTTTTTTATCTTTTATCTTCGCGTAGAACTTGTGTTTTTTTGTTTGTTTGTTTTTTCTCAATATCTACGTCGCCTCTGTTATGGACGACCGATAGCAAAAAAGTTTTTTTTTTATATATATGTATATATCCTCCGCGTAGAATTCGTTTCTTAAATATCCTCGTCGCCACTGTTATGGTCCAGGTTAGGACCAAGAAAGAACAACACGAACACAAGAGTAGAAATAAAGAAGGTATATTACCCGAAATAATAATACAAGATGTAGAAGGTGTTAGTATGACTGTCAGTCTGGTTTGGAGTGAACTACTATCGGTTTGACTCGATTCGACCCTCTCTCTTGAGAGGCGTAGTATACATAGTGCTAGGAAGAGTTCATTCTGTACTTATAGGTAAGGACCCATGACAGATAGATAGATATATTAAGAGACCAAGATAGATAGAGAGAGAGACGAGAAGCCTGAGATAGATAGATAGATAGATAGATAGATAGATAGATCTCTTGACCCTTTACTTACTCAGTGATGAAAATTTTCCATGTGGTGGCATATTTTCTCTATCTGAAAGAGAAATGAATATATATGGCAATTTAGTTACGTTTGAGATCAATTTTTAGATAGATAGATAGATATACACAGACAAAAACACACAGAGAAATGAAGAGACAAAGAAGGATAGATGATCAAAGAGAAATGAAAACATATGACAATTTAATTTGAAATAAATTTTCTTTTAACACACACACACACACACACATATATATATATAGAGAGAGAGACAGAGAGCGATAGATAGATAGATAGATAGATAGATAGATAGATAGATAGATAGATAGATAGATAGATAGATGTCTTGACCCTTTATTTTTTTCTACGTGGCAGAGTTAAGGCCAAGTGTTATTTTGACAGATTTTGGCCATCCTGTTATACAGACAGTTCCTCACGTTGACTCAATATTCCAGAAGGATAAAACGCCGATTGATACGGCTGTAATCTTCATTGGGGAACAGGCTGAATTTATGAACATATAATTATCTATAATAATTTCTTAATGTGTGTATTAAGCAGAATTGTTTAGTGTGGTGGTGTGGGGATGCGTATGTCAGTGGGCCTTTCTTTAAATTTGTAGAACTCTTTAATATTTCGAAAAGTACAGTTTCTAAAATCACGTTTTCATATCAAAGGTTGAAACTATCCCTGACAAGACCAATGGCAAAGCTGAAGGAAAGGAATTGTAGAAGAGTGAATTGTGTGCGTGTGCGTGTGTTGTATTACGTACTGTGGTAGTGATTTACGTGTGTGTGTGTGTGTGTGTGTGTGCGTGCGTGTGTGTGTGCGTGCCTGTATGTGTGTGTGCTAGAAGATGCAACATCTACAGACTTACTCAGTGATGAAAATTTTCCATGTGGTGGCATATTTTCTCTATCTGAAAGAGAAATGAATATAAATAGCAATTTAGTTATATTTGAGATCAATTTTTAGATAGATAGATAGATAGATAGATAGATAGATATACACAGACAGACACACAGAGAAATGAAGAGACAAAGACGGATAGATGATCAAAGAGAAATGAATACATATGACAATTTAATTTGAAATCAATTTTCTTTTAACACACACACACACACACACATAGTGAGAGACAGAGAGCGATAGATAGATAGATAGATAGATAGATAGATAGATAGATATTAAGAGACCAAGACAGAGAGAGAAAGACGAGAAGCCTGAAATAGCGATCCTAATATTAATAGATGATAGAGTAGAAATAGCGATCCTAATAATGATAGAGGATAGAGTAGAAATAGCGATCCTAATATTAATAGAGAATAGAGTAGAAATAGCGATCCTAATAGTGATAGAGTAGAAATAGCGATCCTAATATTAATAGAGGATAGAGTAGAAATAGCGATCCTAATAGTGATAGAGGATAGAGTAGAAATAGCGATCCTAATAGTAAAAGAGGATAGACTAGAAATGCAGATCAATTAGACGTCACGCGACTTCCTACTTATACGTTTCTCCCATGCTCACATTTCCAAGAATTTCCAAATCAATGGGAATAAGCGCTAAAATATCCATAGTAGTATTTGGCCTATCGCTGACTCAAAAAAAAAAACAATATTTTTAACCAAAATTTCGAACGGGGTAGAAAAGATTTAAAAACTAATAATAATACACCTTTTAATAATAAGATAAACGTTTTGATGATAAACTTTGTTTTAGAGGCCATTTTACATCATGCTATGCTCTTTTTTCAGGGAATTAGTGGAGGTACCTAATGTAAAACAACTGTTAATTATATAGTGAATTTAATGAATAAACCTTTTAGTGTTTGCAGTAGTAATATCTTGTCA